GAATAGAATAGAATAGAATAGAATAGAATAGAATTAGAATAGGATAGGATAGGATAGGACAGGACAGGACAGGACAGGATAGGATAGGATAGGATAGGATAGGATAGGATAGAATTCTTTATTGGCCAAGTGTGATTGGACACACAAGGAATTTGTCTTGATGAAAATGCTCTCAGTGTATATAAAAGAAAAGATATGATTCGTACATTCATCAAGAGTCAAGAATCATAAGGTACAACACTTAATGATAGCCCTAGGGTACAATAAGCAATCAAATCCTACTAGGAAACAGTCAATATAGATCGTAAGGATACAGGCAACAAAGTTACAGTCCGACAGTCACAAGTGGGAGGGGATGGCTGATAAGGAGTGATGAGAAGATTAATAGTTTTCACATTGCGACCATTGCAATATCCCTACGGTCATGTGATTAAAAATCAGGTGCTTCATATTTATGACAGTTGCAGTGTCCCAGGTCAGTGACAAGCAAAATCAACGGGGAAGCCAGATTTGTTTAACAACCGTGTTACTAATTTAACAACTGCAGCGATTTCACTTAACAATTGTGGCAAAAAAAAAAAAAAGTCGTAAAATGGGGCAAAGCTCAGTTGACCAATTTCTCACTTAGCAACATAAATTTGGGGCTGAATTGTGATTGTAAGTCGAGAACTACCTGCACTCAGAAGGAAGTTCACCAAATGAATTCATGGAAATTGAGAAGTTTGCTTTCACACAAGCAGAGCCAGAGCACCTGAATTGATGAGTTAGCGCTACCTCCTAAGTCAAGGCACATATGAAGGAAGTTTACAAAAATTGGGTTTCTCTTTCCTGCCTCTTCTCTACAACTTTCCGTGTTCTCACTTGAATAGTCCCCCTAAACCATTGCAGATTCCTGGGGCAGATATCGAAAAGTCTTGTAAGATAAGGAAATTGCCTCAAAACCAAGAAGTCATCTACCAAATTTGTTGTGATTCTCCTTGCTTAACAAGTCACCTGTTAACTTGGAAGAGGCTTGGGAGTGGGTGAAGAAGACCAGATAGGAAGATTTTGAGCTTCTTAAAATTGCAGGATTGTACCTGTATTTGATAAAACATTTTCAGAAGTGTAGATAACTGGTCCCTCTGCCTTCTTCTGACCCTGAAATCTATTGAAAAATGACTGAAGGCTTTATAGCTCCTCCTGGGCCAAATACATAACATTTCAGAAGATCATGACCTAACATTGTGAAGAGTTCAGGAGAACTCTTCAGGCTGAAGGCTACTTCTCAACCCAACTAAGAAGAGTTAGGCAGTGTGGTTTTGACCTTTGTGTCTATACTGTGCAGGGCGGGGGGGGGGGGGGAGTCTATGCTGAAACTAGATCAGAAAAGAGTCAAGGGAGGACAGTCTTCCAAATCAAAGCAATAGCAGTTCATACAGTCTAAAGCAGGGGTCTCCAACCTTGGCAACTTTAAGCCTGGCAGACTTCAACTCCCTGGCTGGGGAATTCTGGGAGTTGAAGCGTGTCAGGCTTAAAGTTGCCAAGGTTGGAGATCCCTGGTCCAAAGCATGTTCTACTCCAACCACAAGATTCCAAATTTCAAACTAAGTCACGATATTAGTGGCGGGTACAATAAGTTGCAGAAGTTTTTAAGACCAATGTAATATCCATGCTGGACTCTGGTCTGAAACCTCACAGCCAAGCCCCTCAAATAATCCACTTCCTGTAGGGCTATCTGGATTAAACATTGCTTTGCCTACCAAATGAACAGCGCTGTCAATCAACCATCTGTTGGTAAAGAACGAATCTATCACCAACTCTCATTAGTGAAAAGCAAAACAACCCTTCTGCCATTCAGTTTATTCTGATTTTTCACAATTATGAAACACTCCCTGCTTTGGGATTTAACTAGATCAGATGTCAGGTAATCTGTCAATAATGCCAGTTATAAATCCATTTTCCTAAAAGCTTATTTGGGGGAGAGGCTTTTGAGATTGACAAAGCAGATCGGAATTTGAGAAAGGATTCAAATTCAAACTTCTGTTTGAAAACTGTGATACGCTGCCTTTAGGTACAGAGTAGATAGGACACCTGTTTTGTCCCCCATTCTTCAAATAAGTTCTGTTGGAAAATATGACCATGATCTAAACTGAAAGATACAGATACTTTCTACCGGTAGATAAAATAAATGATGTTGAGAGATTCCAGGAGATTTCCTCTATAGAATGAGCCTGTCGTTGTGAGAGTAAGATGTAGTTCTTCCCCCACAAACCATAGTAAGGTTTCATTCCCCATTCAAACGTCTTGCCTGATGCTTCTCCTTCTAACATTACCAATTTTTCATCTGCAGTGCAAGATCCAGATGAAGATGCCTTGAGAAGATCAAGGTAGGCAATTAGCCACCTTCTGGCCTTCTGTTTACCAATAACAAGAACTAGCATTAATTGGATTTTTTATGCCCATTAGATTTTTTGACCCCTTAAAAAAAAAAACCTACTACTTCTACTCAAATCACTAAAATACCAACACGCTTTTGGTTTAACCAGACGTCCAAAGTAAATCACATGAGAATGTATTGTAATTCCAGGGGGCACTTGATGAGAAGTTTTGTTCACCAAGGGTTGTGATGGGCTAACTTTTCCAGAAAGAAACTCAATGGACCAGCCTGCATGTGCTTTGGCCTACTCTTGGATTGCAGTTTTAACAAGCATTTAACTAGGATGATGCTGGGATTAGCATTTGTTTCAATGGAGGTGCACAAATGTTGTTGTTCCAATGTTATGAACAAGACAACCAAAGAGTGTCCTTGCCAAAACTAAATCAAAGGGGGAAGTTTTATCCATTCCCAACAAATTTATTTGGATTGATCTTCTCAAAATACGGCAGTGTGAGCACACAGGACTGCTTTTGCTACTAGAGTGAAATGTTTGTCCATTTGCAAATATATAGAAGCTCTTTTTTTTTTTTAACCTATCTTAAGGCGGTTGCGATTGCGTTCTTGGATTTGGCTACTGGCTTCACTTTTGATTTGCTCTCAGTTTGCGATGGTCTGGAGAAGAGGAACCTCTTCTCTTGTTGTCATATCCCCGCCTTCCCCAATGTCTTCTTAGAATCAGAACTTTGGTTTGTGATCTGGCTTATTTGTCTTGCCAAAATTTCCATTGTGCTAACACAGGTTGGCTTTCGTTGAGTTTTGAACCCTGAGATTCTGGTGCCAAAGTCCCCTGCTGTCTGTAATTGTTGAAATATATTTGAAAGTACAATTGGCTGCACATGCTTTCTGTGATGGATGACAGTGGTTGATCTAGCTGGAATTCTCCTTCTCTCTTCGGCCTTAGAAGGCCCACAGACCGAGGTCTTCATTCCATGTAGCAGAATTCTTATGGAACAGAAATCTAAATTGCACAGGGTACCAAATTTTTACCTAGAAGACATTTCTGTGTAAGAATTGTGATGTGATATCAGCATCTCTGTTGTCCTGGATGAAGTTTTAATTACATATACACCTGCTGTATATGTACTGAACCATCTCAGGAAAATGTAACCATCTCTTAGAGATTTTATAAGAGTCTGGTAATAGCTGCTATTACTCCAATCCTATTTTGAGATTTAAATTAAGCTTCTGGGTGATGAGAAACATCTGAGTAATTATAGCAGCTGGCAGAACCAACCATAGATATTTTATTTTCATATCTCTGCTTTAGAAAAACTGTCACTGCTGACGGTAGAGTTGGCTACCAACAGTAGCTGGGTTACTCCAATCGCGAGCGGTGGCTAGAAACATTTCTCACTAGCAAAATTCAAAGGAATTGGATGCTATTCAGGGAACAGAGGTAGCTTTAGGCTTTTGAGGAACCGGGGTGGAACTGTCTTTAAGGATTGATTTGTGCGTGTGTGTGTGTGTGTGTGTGTGTGTGAGAGAGAGAGAGAGAGAGAGAGAGAGAGATGACTTTTTAGTCAGAGTTGCTAACTGCATAGACTCAACCCTGAAATTTTCTTGGCAACATTTTATTGTAATTCCAGGGAGCACTTGATGAGAAGTTTTGGTTGAAGGATCTCCCAAGGGTTGTGATGGGCAACATTTTTAGAAGTGGTTTACCCTTGTCACCCAACTGATTTTGTGCCTAAGGTAGGGCTAAAAGTCACAGTTTTCCATATTCTAGCTAGCCTAAGGCTTTAATCATTAGACCAACTGATTCTGACCTATTTGCTAAAATATCTCAGTCTGTGATATAGCTATGAAAGTAGCTGCTATGATTAATAAGCCAGCAACAGTTATATTCTGTTCTCTGTCACATGTCTTCCTGATGAAGACATCTATCTTACTTTTATATATGGGACTTCTTTTTTATTTGCCGAAATTAGGCCAAAATTGGAGTCCTCCTTGAGTTTGGGGCCTCGAAAGCTTTCCACAGCAGGGGACAGCGAGTGAGGCAACTGGCAAAAACTGTGACTTCTTCCCATATAAACTATATAGAGGTTACACCTTTAGTTGACTCAAATTAGAATAGAATAGAATAGAATAGAATAGAATAGAATAGAATAGAATAGAACAGAACAGAATAGAATAGAATTCTTTATTGGCCAAGTGTGATTGGACACACAAGGAATTTGTCTTGGTGCAAATGCTCTCAGTGTACATAAAAGAAAAGATACATTCATCAAGAGTCAAGAATCATAAGGTACAACACTTAATGATAGTCATAGGGTACAATAAGCAATATTCAATAAACAGTCAATATAAATCATAAGGATACAAGCGACAGTTACAGTCCGACAGTCACAAGTGGGCGGGGATGGGTGATAAGGAGTGATGAGAAGATGAATAGTAATAGTAGTACAGACTTTGCAAATAGTTAGCATGGCCCATGGTCTTCACTATGATCAGTTAAGGACCATATAGGGCAGGGGTCTTCAAACAGCTTTAAGACTTGTGGACTTCATCTCCCAGAATTTCTCCGCCAGTCATGTTAGCTCAGGAATTCTGGGAGTTGAAGTCCACAAGTCTAAGTTTGAAAACCCTTGATATAGGGGATTTCTTTCTTTCTTTCTTTTTTAAAGAATTTAGTAAGAATCAGATCAGCTGAATGTCTATGGAGAGTCTCGATCATCCAGGTCTTGGTGGTCCCAAAGGAGCTTTTCCAAGAGCCAACTGGACTTTCTGGTTTTTCTGTGAAGACATTTCACTTCTCATCTGAAAAGATTCTTCAACTCTGATGGTGTTATTCCATTAAGTTGTAGCATGAGCTGCTTGTTTTGGCTTACCATGCTTTGTGAACACAGCAATCATGGCTTAGAAAGGTGTTGGGGAAAGTGGTTTTGGTCTAGGGATTATAGGATTATTTTTTTGTCTCATTCCTACCTCAGAATGCACTCTCAGTGTTCAGCAGTCAGGGTCAGACTGAGAGGTTTCTCTAAAATCCACAAAAAAGGGAAATTTGGGTTGTGGGTACATAAGTCAATTAGGAGATGACTGATGGTGGACACAGCCACAGAGTTGAAGCTAGAAATCTTAGCATTATCAAAGAGCAGAACCTCAAATTATCAGCATCAAGGGAGACGCTTATATGGACCTCCCTATTCAGCACCACCTATCTTGGGTTCTACACCCAAAGTCACACCTGCGAACTGATTCAGTTGATGAATGAACAGCATAACACCAGCCCTTAGCAAGCATTTCACCAAACTTATTAAAAGAAAATGAAGAAGCTAAGGGGAGATTAGATCCCTTAGATCTCTTGAATTCTGCCCTGGAAGCCATCTGCTCTAAGACCAGGTGCTGTGCCCTTTTGTACTGCCAGAGGTGTCCTTTACGTGCTTTAATGGTATGTCGGATGCGCTTCTCTCCTTTTGATGGTAACTAAGGGCCTCTTCATATCTATGAATGAGAAAACAAAAGAAAGGATGAGTGAACGAGCTGTAATTCATAAGATTGTTGGATCTCACTTGCTAACAAATGTGGTAGCATCTCTAGGCTCTGCTGCACTACCACTGGTACAGCTCTTGGTTAGCTCTTGGAAGGAAGGAGGGAGGGAAGGAAGGAGGGAGGGAAGGAAGGAGGGAGGGAAGGAAGGAAGGAAAGGGAAAGGAAAGGAAAGGAAAGGAAAGGAAAGGAAAGGAAAGGAAAGGAAAGGAAAGGAAAGGAAGGAAGGAAGGAAGGAAGGAAGGAAACAAACCATATTAAATCAAAGTCAAGCATACCTGGGGAGAGGAAGGAGGAAGGGAAGGAGGGAGGGAGGGAGGAAGGAAGGAAAGGGAAGGAAGGAAGGAAGGAAGGAAGGAAGGAAGGAAGGAAGGAAGGAAGGAAGGAAGGAAGGAAACCATATTAAATCAAAGTCAAGCATACCTGTAACGCAAAAAGTAACATGCCCTGGAAAAGCTTCTGTCTGTAATCTAATTTATCTTTCTCTCAACCCCAATCAAGTTTGTGAAGCAGTAGAGATGTTCTTGAAGTCATTATGCTAACAAAAGTTCCAGAAAAACAGGGTGAAGCCCAAAATTAATGAGATTTTAATGATGATGTGATTTAAATTAAGACCCCCCCCTCCTTTTTTTAAAAAAAAAATGCAATTTGCACCTAAGAAGGATTCCATGGAGAACTGGAACTGCAGACGGCAGGAAGGCAGTCCTTCTGTTCCTTGTCTCATTGGGCTGAAATGATCTTTCAGTAGAGGAGGAAGGAGAATTTTACTCTCCCTCCCTTCCTGGAGCTGCGAGATGCTTCTGTTTCTAATTTCATCCATGCAACTGATACAGCAGAGCACCCAGCATGGACACCAGACCATCTTCCTGAACTCCTTGGGTTGCTATAGTAATTCAGAAAGGTCACCCTCTTGTTTGGACAAGCATGCATAGGAACTGTGTTGAAAACTCCACCCAGAGGTCTGATTTGACCTGAGCCTTTCTGAGAAAAACAGGAATAGTTCACTGCCTTCTCAGTAGTACAGCATCTTCCTTCCATGCACCACTGCATGTTCACTGTGGGACTTAGTCAAGGCAATTAGACTTCCTGTAGAGCAGGGGTGTCAAACTCAGGGCCTGGGGGCCAGATCTGCCCCAGGGGGTGCTTAGATCTAGCCCATGGGGCCGCCCCAGGAACAACAAAGCACTGGCCTACGGTGCCTCTGCTAGTGAAAACAGAGAGCTGCCCGCCGCTGTCCCAAGCTCCACTTTCACTAGCAGAGGGTTACAGGAGGCTGTCGCAGCCGAAAATGGAGCTTCGGAGCCATAGGTGCCCCCCCAAAATGAGTGTTGTCAAGCTGGCCACACCCACCCTGTCCACGCCCACCCAGGTCACGCCCACCCCGGCCCCTCAAGGTCAAAAACAACCCTGATGCAGCCCTCGAGGAAATGGAGTTTGACACACCCCTGCTGTAGACCTTTTCAGGGGAAAACAAATCCATCTCCAAATGAATTTCACAAGTTGGTTTGAGGTGGGGCTGTGTAGGAGAAAAACAGAATTATGTGGATTAGAATGCAATACTTTCTTTTTCATCTGACTTGATTTGTTCTCCAGAACTGCATCTAAACAAATTTAAATTTCTGAAGTCGTGTGCTCCCCCACCCACAAAAAAGGGTGTGTGTTACTAACAGGGGTGTGATTCAACCGGTGTAACAACCGGTTTGGTGAGCGCACACTTTGCGCGCAGGCAGAGGGTTTGCTACTGGCCTAATCCTGCACTCTCCCTGTGTGTTCAACAGCTGGCGCGTGAAGCAGCTGAGCTTGAAAACCAGGAAATAAAGGTCAGAATAGAGCCAGGGCCGGTGGGCGGGCCCAGCAGCTGATCGTCGGAGCAAACCTATTTGCTCACAGATGATCCTTGAAGCTACCGGTTCGACTGAACCGTACCAAACCGGTAGAATACCACCCCTGGTTACTAGCCTAACAAACCCTCCAAACAGAAATTAATTTTTTTCAACAAACTTTTTATCTTTACACACACACACACACACACACACACACGTGTGTGTGTGTGTGTATGTGTGTATGTTTTCTTAAGTTTTCACGGGTACTTACATGTATGGCATTCAGCTTCGTTCGGGTATTTTCCCACGTCATTGTAGTTAAAAGCACAACTACAATGACGTGGGAAAATACCCAAACGAAGCTGAATGCCATACACACACACACACACACACACTCACACACATACATATACATATACATATATATGTATACACACACACACTCAAAAAGGCTTTTTTTAAAAAAAGAGATTTGTGTTTGCCCAAATTCAATGAATTTGGATGAATTGCAGGTGTCAGATAGTTACTTAAGGAAGTACCCTCTTTCTTACCGCAACACTGATGCCACTCACATTTTATCATTTGAAATCCCAACTAGATGGACATTATTTATGCCCAAACCTATGACATCGCTTCCAGGGAGTATCCATTATTCCCTAACAACAGAAAGGAAACCTCTCTACTGCTACTCAAACCAATACTTGCTGGACAACGAGAAGCTAACCTAGATGCAGAATGCCTTCGCATTTGTTTTGTGTGCACTGTTTTGTTTGCTGGAGCAAATGGAAATTTGCTGGCCAAAAGATGGATTTCTAGCAAAAGCAGCCCTGTTAAGCCCAGCCAAATGTGGCCAGGAAAGGAGAATTGGGTGCTTCCAAATTTTTTTCCAAAAATTCTGATTTTTGCCCCTCCCCACACCCTAAAAAAAGAGGTTTTGCTTTGTCCTTTTTATTTTTATTTTATTTTTAACACAGCATTTGGAGGCAACTTAAACCCTATCTCTCCATCCTTTATCTCTCTCCCTCTCTCTCTCTCTCTCTCTCTCTGTCTGTCTCTCTCTTTCTCTTTCTCTCTCTCCCTCCTCCCCATCCCTTTGTCTTTCCATGCCACAGGGAGAGGTTTGAAACGGAGCGTAACGGCCCACGTTTTGCCAAACTGCGCAACTGGCATCATGGCCTCTCCGCGCAAATCCTTAATGTCAAGGGTTAATTGTCCTGTGGCTAAGGAGCCCAGCTGGAAGAGGAATATAATATAAACCTTTCCTGAGTTTAGCATAGGAGCCGCCTCAAAAAACCTTGAGAAGCTAAAAAAAAAAAGACTGTTATTTGTTTTCGGAATTATTATTATTATTTCCCTCTAAGCGCTTGCCTTTGTTATTATGGTTTCTTTCATCCAGCCTGTAAGTTCCCTTAACTGTAAAATTGGCTTGATTTGGTTGGCCAATTGGTAGATTCTGAGTCATTTACGAGACACGTGTGGCTTGGCTGTTACAATTTCTGGCTTTTAACCGATGTATATTGAATGGGGAAGTGGGTATATATATTATATTAATAGAGATTAAATCTCTATTGCTATAGATCAAGGGTCTTCAAACTCGACAGCTTTAAGACTTGTGGACTTCAATTCCCAGAATTCCTCCTCCAGTCATGTTAGTTCAGGAATTCTGGGAGTTGAAGTCCACAAGTCTTAAACTTGCCAAATTTGAAGACCCTTGCTATAGATATATATTGGTATATTGGAATTCAGAAGTTGGAAGAGAAATGTATTGTATCTAGGACTTTGGTCAACCCTCTAGATCTCTTAGTTGCAGAGTTCGTTTAGGTCATATTGATAAAGACACTTGGTACAGATAGTCCTCAACTTAAAACAACCACAATTGAACACAATTTTCCTTGTAAGTTGGGCGTGTGGAAGAGGCAGGATTAATTAATTACGTCACGTCACTGTGAATCACAGCGTTGGAAGCAGATAGTTCAGAAGTTCAGAAGCAAAAAGCAAGTTGGCCTGAAAGAAATATATATAAGATAATTTATACACTGAGTTGTTGACAGCATGGTGTAACTTTTAGACAACATTTTGCTTTTCATGTATCACAGTTGCTTTGAAAGATCCTTTTCTTGTATATAGCAGTGTGGTTTTATGTGAAATAAAGAATCTCAAAAACAGATTATCGTATTTGCCTTTTTACCCCAAATCCCTTAATTTATTGATCTCCTTGATTTGGAATGGAAAATCTGTTGCTTCTTTTAATTGCATACTCTGAACTTAAAGATTTGAGTGCAAGAGAAATCAAGACAGGCAGAAAATACTTACTTGGGTTAATACTCAGTTTAAGCAGAGAGATTTATTTAGTTGAAACGAAAGCCTTGGGGGTTTATGCAAACTCCAGTCCATTTGTTCTGTTGGTGGCCTTCCTTTGCTTTCTGGCCAGTCATTGTTTGAGGGAACGCACGCACAAATAGGTGTGTATTGCTGAAATCAGGGGTGGTAATCAGAGTTATAAAATAGTTTTATACAGTACCCCTCTTTCTTTTCCTCTGCCAATCTCTGCTTGGCACAACCTCAACTCTTCACTGCTTACAGGGTTACACTGAAGTGAAACATGCAAAACACTGCATTGCATTTTGTCCTGGCCATCTCTCACACTAGTTTTTGCACTAAAAAGTGTTCCCCTCCTGAGGAATAAATCTGCACAGTCTTTTCGCCCTGGTGTGAGAACGTCTCGTTAATTGATTCCAGAAGGCCTGTCCCCATGGACATCTGTTTCCTCATCAACACCCCCTAGCTGAGGCAGCCAGAGATTAGTCTTTTGGTCCTCCGCACTGGCGTGATTCTTATCCTCTCACCATCCCTCCAGAGACTGCGGGCCAGGCAATCTAGGACATGCTCCTGTGAGGGAGGTTGGCTGACTGAAAAGACAAGTTCCATGGGACATTGAAAGTGAGTTTCTGAAGCCATTTTGTCTTGGCTTTGTCAGCCATTTTGTCTTGGCAGTTGGCTTTGTCAGCCATTTTGTCTTGGCAGTCATCCAGGTCATGGTTATTCCAATGATGCTTTTTTTCAAAAAAGGCAACTGGGCTTCGTTTTTCCTAGGAAAACCAAAGTCCAGTTGCCTTCAGAAAAAGCACCCGTGGGACAGTCAATGTGGACTAAAACAGAAAAGAGACTATCAGCATTATCAACAGTTAGATATTGCACCCTCAAAAGTTCACCTTGGCACATACTTTTTATATTTTTTTGATTGCACATCATTGAAATTTCGTCTCTTCCTGTTTCATGTCAGAGCCAATTCCCTTGAATGGTGTTGCTCCTGCAGAAGTTTGGCCTTGTGCGATTGTGATTAGCTTGCCCACACAAGTTGTTACTTGGTATTTAAATCATCAGATAATAAACAGGCATGTGGGAATTGGCCTGAGGCATGTACTCCAGAATTGCATTCGATTTTGGTGAAAAAACAGAGTAATCAGTCGTGTGATTCTTCTCCGTCAGCCATTATATCATACAATATAACTTTGGGGGGCAGTGAGAAGAATTATTTGAATCATAATAGCTGACATCAAAAGTATTAGCTAATTTAAAACAAAGCTGGGCTTATTGAGATTTGTACTTTCTATTTCCTTTGAATTGGCTTCCTTTCTGCTAGAAAGGAAATTATCTTATTTCATTCTCTCATATCCTTCTATTTCATTTCTTTATTTCACAACTGTCACCCTGTCACCACTATGGAGGTCTTTCGACATAGGTGTTCAAATAAAATATAAAATAGGTAAGATTTATGAAGCCCTTTTGTGCCTGCTGTGAACTGGTAGAAGTGTACAGCAAAACAGTAAATTGCAATTGGTAATCTGCTCAATTATTTCATTTTGCTAAAGAGAATTCAGTCAAGCATGCAGGTCAAGCAGTTGGACCTTGGCCTAGTGACTTTTACCCAGCGTGCTTTAAACAGAGCCTTCTTTAGCAAGATTTGTTGAAATCAGAGGCAAAGCATTACCAGAAACCTGGCAATTGAACTATTTCCCGTTTAGAAACAATACCTGTGCACCTTCAGTCATCCAGGTTACAGTTGTCGCAAAGGTCCTTTTTTTTTTTTTTTCCAAAAGGCCACTGGACTTTCTTTGTTTTGCCTTGAAGGCATTTCTCTCAGAGGTGGGTATTCAGCAGGTTCTGGCCAGTTCTGGAGAACCGGTAGCAGAAATTTTGAGCAGTTCAGAGAACTGGCAAATACCACCTCTGACAGGAGATTTTACAGTATCCTTCCCCTGCCACGCCCACCAAGCTATGCCCACAGAACCGGTAGTAAAAAATTTGAATCCCACCATCACTGATTTTGCTTCTCATCCAAGAAGCTTCTTCAGTCCTTCAGTTGATTGAAGAAACCTCTTGGATGAGAGGTGAAATGTCTTCAAGGAAAAACAAAGAAAGTCCAGTTGCCTTTTGAAGAAGAAAAAACCACATTTGAGAATATCTGTATGCCTTCCTTGCAGGGTGCGGAATTCTGGGGAAGAGCAACAGAGAAGATTAGGCGACTGGAGGTGAAAACATAATAAAGAACAGTTGCAGGAATTGGGCATGTCTAGTTTAATTAAAAGAAGGACTAGGGGTGATATGATAGTCGCGTTCCGATATTTCAGGGGCTGCCACAAAGAAGAGGAGGTCAACCTATTTTGCAGATCACCAGAAGGCAGGACAAGAAGGAATGGGTGGAAACTAATCAAGGAGAAAAGCAACTTAGAACTAAGGAGAAATTTCCTGACAGTTTAGAACAATTGATCAGTGGAACGACTTGCCTTCAAAAGTTGTGGGTGCTCCGTCATTGGAAGTTCTTTAAGAAGCGATTGGACAACCATTTGTCTGAAATGGCACAGTGTTTCAACCCTGGGGGCTGGACTAGAAGCCTTCTAAGGCCCCTTCCAACCCTAGTTATTCCATTATTCTGAAAATTAAAGTCCACACATCGTCAAATAGCCAAGGTTAGGAAACGCTGGCCTAGAGTTTGTGAAATTTTAAAAAGAAATGAATTCTTTGATTCTATTGATTCAAAAAAAAAACCCATGCTGAAGCCAAGGGTCTAATTCAAAGAGAGAGAACAGAAAATAAACCATATGCTAAGGGAAGGGCCTAGTAACAGACACTTCTCTTTCACAAGAACAGAAGAACTAGTGATGAAAGTGCCTTTGTGTTCCAACATTTTATTAATTGACAGACTAGCGTTGATGCTTGATGGTTCGTTCAGTCCTCACACATCTGCTAGGGGGAAATATAACTCTGTCTGGATCACCGAGAGATATTCTTACATGCAGCTGTCTACAGATTACAGAAATTGCAGTCATTCATCAGTTAACGTTCCTACGATTCCTCAATTAAAATGGATTTGCATATAAATGGAATGATTGAGCTGACAGGGGGAAAAGCTGGATTGTGTTTGGATGACACATATGTATGTCAAAAAGTTCAGGGTGTTTCTTTTTTAAAAAAAGTTCTCTCTGAAAACGTATTAGTCATTTGTATTGCAATGATTTTATACACGTCCCAAATAAGACACATTAAAGAAAAATAATGTAATTAATTATTTTTTGGAAGCTCCGCCTAATTTATATCTTCAAGGGAGAATAACAAGAAAGAGGAAAATGAAGTCCTCTTGTCTCATAAACACAAAGTTGTTAAAGTAAAAAAAAAATCAACTTTAATTGTTCTATTCCATGTTTTTAATCTGCCTCCAGTGCAAATATGCTATTTATATGATTTTTATGCTTCTAATTATATGCTGCCCAGAGTTGCTCTGTGAGTGAGATGGGTGGTCTCATTAATCTGACAAAGGAGAGAGGGAGATATTGGCCAAGGGAAAGAAATGTGTAGTAGCAAAGTTTGAAGAGCCTTCCCCTTATCTATTCTTTGCTCAACTGGTCTAAGGGCTCATAGGGTGCAATTTCCAATATTATGTAATTCCCAACATAATCATTTATTGGTATTCCAGTCTCGTGTAGATCTTCTGGGGAGGAAGCTGTGTGAAACACAAGGGCCTTTCATTCTTATTCTTCCGAGAGACATAAAATTACATCTGCAACTCTATTTCAAGACACCTTGAGTTCTGGTTAGAGAAAATCCATCAGTTGTTTGGATGTGGGTGCCCTGAAATAATGCATAATTGTTCTCCAGTATCCTCACTCAAGTCTGAGGATAGGGACAGTCAAGCCTAATTGCCTTTTTGTACTAAATATAGGACTTAAAACTCTCCTTGTTATAAACCTAGATGTCAAAGAAGACATCTAGGCAAGTTAACTTTCTAAATGTATGAATTGATTGATTCTCTTACCTTTTCTTAGTGAAAACAAGACTTAATTCTCCAGGACAGATATCTAGAAATCAGGAAAACCAAGTTGATTTCCTGAACGGATGGATGGATGCATGGATGGATGGATGCATGGATGGATGGATGGATGGATGGATGGAATGGAAAGGGGAGACATAGGGCCATGACTCGAATGCACAGAAAGAGGTGCATCATATCCCAGCAAGAACTAAAGCTCTGTCTTTTTGTGTCAAATGTTGTGATCAACTTGCTTCCCTTAATATTCAAGTGACTTTCCTACTGGTTGTCTGTAACCAAGCACGCCGGAAATGCCTTCCGCCTATTTTCAATTAACACCCTCCTCCCTCACTGGGGGCTTGTCCACTAAATTTATTCATACTATTCCCCTCCTTCCGCAGTGGCAAGAAACATGTTGCTGTGGCGACTGAAAACAGGTAATGTGTATTTCTGTTTGTTTCCGTGTTTCCTCCCAGTCTCAGGTCCAGCACATAACAGTCATAGTCAGCAAACTTTTACGCGGACCTCACTAATAATGGGTTTTTAAACCCTCCTAACGTAATCCTGGATTTGTGGCTATTGGGTCGATGAGGTCCTTGGGTAGACTACGCATTTCCACTATGACATCTCTTTAATTCATTCAACAGTTGGTTTTATCTTTGTAAGTGTGTGAAGCCTTCCCTTGAGATTGAGTTCCATTTCAGTCAAGGTGGGGATTAAGTTTTGAATATAAACCAACTTGAGATATAGTACATCTTTCCTATTTTAAGTATGTATGCGGTTTTTTTAAAAAAAATAGACGTTTTGAGCACTTACGACCTCACAAAGGGGCTTCTTTGCACTGTTGACTGGGCTTCC